TATCCCAGACAAAAAGATCATTTTGCCAGCCCAAAACTATGGGGGAGCAGTTTTTCTTCACTGTGCATCAGGGAGTTATCAGGATCCCTTTCCATGCAAACACAAGCTAATGGATCCTCTTGGTACCTCCTCCCTTACCTGTTCCCTTTTTTTTTTGCACTAAAGGTATATTCAGACCAACCTCAATCTTGGTACTCTCTCTTCCTGTCTAGTTTATTTAAAACTATTATTGTGAGTTTGTGATTAAAAACATACAAATGAGCATTGACAGCTCAGCTCAGCTGTCATTTAGAGCACTCAGGCCTTTGAACTTCACAGAGTAATTCCTTTTCAGTGATCTCTGCAACGGGAACACTGAACTGCAGCCCTGTATTGGCTTCTCTCCACTTGGTATCACATCCACTGTGAAAAATTCACATATCAGAAAAGGGAGGAGGGGAAGATACCAATTACACCACCTACACTGAATGATTGCCATGGCTCACCCTCAGAACCAGAAGGGTTTCTCTGTGATATGGATTTCTTTGGGATTTATCAGCCTGCAGCACTGAAGGAAAACAGCTCTCCCACACCTACAACTCTTCATGTCTCCAGGTGTTTACTGAAGTCATAATTCTTTTTTTTTAACAATACTGCTGTGCTGTCTGACTCTGTGTGTGTATAATATCAAGTTCATGATGTTCATACAGAAATAGGAGTTGGAGAAATACCAGCTCTACTCTTCTCCACATAGACTTGTCTAATTAACACAGGAAAATCTTTAGCACCCAGGATGGGATTTCAGATGCCAGGCTTCTACAGAAAAGGAATGCAAATGAAAAGGGCAGTCCTTTAGTAGACTGTATCTGTTAAATTGAAATGCTGGAATATTGACAGAGAGCAAAAAAAAGTTGTCTATGTCTGAAAAAAGTTGTCAGTTAGTGTCTGTGTGCATATGCATATATATATATATATATATGTATACACACACATACATATCTGAAAGGAATATTCTTAAAAGATCTTGGTCATGGAGGTAGAACTCACAAAGTAGCAGCCAGCAACATTGCAAATGCTGCTATCCTATTATACAGACTCTTCAGGAAGAACATTCAGAGTTACAATGGGAGGTAAAAAACTACATCACCACCACCACCACCAAGAGCAAAACAAAACAAAATATCAAACAAAACAAAAACAATAACAAAAAATAAAAAAAAAACCAAACACAAAAAACAAACAAGTCTTTGTGCCCTCTTCAGAATTTTTTTAAATTCTGAAAAATTCTGCAGAAATTTAAGCTTGTTTTACATATAGTTGTGTCTTTATATCAGAAAGTTTTCTTAAGAAGAATGCTGTACCAGCCAGCATGCAGCTGCCTTGAAACAATGGTAACAGCAAAGGTACAGCATGAACTGGCCCACTCTGTTTCTCATTAACCTCAAATGAGAAGTTTGTTTTCTCAAAGCTGGTTTTGGAACCATTTAAGTGATAACCTCACAAAGCCAGGCAGCTTTTCCACCAACACAGGGGGGGTCAAGGTTTTTTTAAAATGCAAAACCTCTGGAATGAACTCCTTCTTTTAAACCACAATTTCCCACCTGTAATGGGGCTTTCTTCCCTCCAGGTAAGGGCCTTCCTCTTGCTCTGCCCAGGCTGTGAGGATCCAGCAAGCTGCCACCCCTGGTCCTATGTGAGCAAAAGTCCTGAGCACAGCGTGTTTGTGTCCCCTGAGCACCTCTCCTGGAAATTAATAGGCACATGTTGCACTTCTGGCCTGGAGCTACAGAATGGTCTGTTCTAGAAGGGAAGTCAGGTATTGCAATACCTAATATTTCACCTTCCAAAGGGATCCTCAGTGTTTTGTCCTGTGATTTTATTCTGCTGTGATTTAAGAAATGTATGCCCTTGATTTCCTGGACAAAGCAAGAGAGAGGCAATTATCAAGTAATTTTCTACATTCTCAGAGAAACTCCTAAACAAAGAAAGTTCAAAATCCCAAGCATCTTAACTGGGAACACTTCATGCCTTGTTAAGAAAGGAAAAGGCTAACAATTTTGTGTGGAAAAAAAAACCCCAACAAACAAATAAAACCAGCAGTAGCCAAGAAGTTGTTGCTGGATATATCCTGTTTGTATCACATGACCAGACTTATATAAACTAAAAAGTGATTTGGCTTCTTTGCATGCCAAATCCCATCCCAGGTATTCTCAGGGTGTTCCTCTCCACAGCCACGGGCTGAATTAGCTTCTGGTACCATGGTTTGCCTGGGTGAGAAAAGTCTGTAGGGAAGAGTCAGCTGCCAAAACTCCACTTGAGATAGAAAGGTTACAAAAACAGCCCACTGGTTCACCACAGATGAAATTACAGAGAAAGAAAGTAAGCTGCCAGTAATACTTACCCAAAATTGTGATGTTCATGTGTTCAGAGGCTACACATGCCACTAATTAAAATCAGCTTGTCAGGCAACATATTTTCCTCCCAAAAAAGTAATTTTCTCTCAAGAGAAAAAAAAACCATGATCATAGGTTGGGCAATATGCATAATCAAAAATGTTTATCACATGTATCAAGAATAGGTTTCAATAGTTAAAAGTTGTAAGCAGCAGGGCGACAATGAAGGCTAGACAGAGACAAGATTTTTTAGAATACAGGTAAGACTGTAAAATAATGAGAGACCTGGCAATTAGGTAGTTGATTGAATTAAAATACAGAGAAAATAGTGAAAACAAAAAACCACATAGCCTGCTCATGCACAGAGATGTGCATTTTACAAAGAATTGACATTTTTCAGTGAGACTGAAGACTAATTATTTCTTTGAAAATGATGGCTCAACAGCTAATCATAGTCCAAAAAAACCCCCAATGGAACATCAAAGATCATTAAAAAAGACCTTGAGTAAAAAATACTAGATAAATACATGTTAAAAATGCCAGATAAACACTTGTGTGCACATTTTGTGTATCATTACCTTTAAAATAAGATAATCTATTGCCTGAAAAACTTGAAGTGGGTTTTTTTTTCAGTGTTTGATAGTACCCACATCCAGGCACCAGCACCTGGCCTTCCACTTGGTAGGCTTAAGGAACAAAATTCAGCTCTTGGGCACTTTTCACTGGGTTGAAACTTCAGTGACAGAGACATGAGGTTGGTTGTACACTGAAAGCCATTGGACTTTATCAGCTGTTTATATGCTGCTGCTTTATAAACTTCACACCACTGTTACTTCTACTGCCATTATTCCCATTTGTGGCTTGGGCTTACCCACAGTGCTGACACAGGTCTTGGTGCTTGAAACATCAGACCAGGACCAGACCAAACATTCAAGCACAATGAATGCCCTCTGAATACTTTCTGTACCCCATCTCTGTTCACATGGGGGTCACAACAGTGTCAGTCTGGGGTTCACTCATGCCCAGTGTCACCTATTTAAACAATGAACACCAATAAGGCCACTCATTTTTAAGCACGTATTTAAATGGTTTGCTGAATCAAGGTCAGCATGTTAAAACTTGAAGGAATCCACTCCAAAAGCTTGGCTTTACATTTGAAGGACTAGCTTTAAGAGTAATTTCTAATCTCCCATCCCAATCCTACAAGTGTCATATCCTAGGAGTGGCACATCATACAGGATTTTACAAGGATCACCTTGGCACAACCCACACTCTCTGTTTCCTGGTTTTGCTCTGGAGAAGCAATGTTCCCACCCAGAAGCTTCTCTAAGGAGACATCACCCACCCAGGACTGCCTACCTGGATATACAATCTGGGCAGCAGAGCCCCTGGGAACGTGGCCTTTTTCACTGCAACATTCTCAGGCAGATGAACCAGAACAATTAAACACATTAATGCATCTACTGAAATGCTAAATTTAAGACTTGGAAACATTCCCACTGAAATGCTAATTTTAAAACTTGGAAATGTTCCTATCTGCTTCCTTCCACTTCAAAACACAGTGAGTAAACTAGGTCTGACCCTTTGGCAGTGCTCCATTTAAGTGGCACAGATTTGCCTACTTAACAAAGCCCTTTTGTTTCCTACAGCTGTGAAATTCTGGTGCTCTGTAACTTCATGTTTCCCAGGTTACCTTGGCACCAAGCTGTGACTAAATGTCTGCAAAGGATTTTTAACTCCAGCCTTGGAGGAATATAACCACAAGAAGGAATGATGGCTTTCAGTGAGTGTCCCATGCTAGCAAGAACAATGCTCAAAATCAGCTTCAAATGTCCACAAAGCTTCTGGGATAGCTGTGGTTTAATAGGGAGCTGCATTCTCTGTTCTGCCCTGCTCCTGGCTGCATCATGTTTGTCTTTCTTCTGCTCCCCTTCCTCATCTTATATCTGTTCAGCTCCATCACTCAATACAAAGGGAAACAGGGGCTATGACAGATCTTTTTGAAAATAATTTGTTTAAGGATCACTTGTATCTGAAGAAACTCTAAATTCCATACCTGATTTCATGCTCTGTGGAAGGAAATGGATCTTTTCTCACTGATTCCACAAGGACAGAAAGTAATTCCAAGCACACACACATAAGATGTGAATAACACAACTTAAAATAATCACATTGTAACTGAATTAATGAACAACTGTGGCAAAACATCCTTCCCACTTTTTGGTGTCTGCAGAAGGTGCCAGGTAGTTTAAAGAGGAGCAGGTCTGTGCCATATATAATAATTAAATAGGAAATATTTTTAGGTGCTGGAGCACAGGTCTGTGGTAATTCCACAAACTCCCTCCATGTCTAATGCAGAAGGGAATAATAACCAGGACCTGTAATACAAAGCCTTGAGAAGTTACTGCATGCACACTGGCAGACAGACCCAAGGGTCCTCTGCACTACGGCCAAACATGAGGCAGTGCCAAATTAGATGCTAAACATGGATGCATTAAACCATAGAAACACCTTGTATGACTTATACCAACAGGGTTTTCTTTTTTTTTTTTTTTAACCTGAGGCATTTAGGGTTTGGTTTTTTTTTTCTCCTAAGATATTTAAGACATCCCAGGGCAGCAGATAACTGAAGTAATGAATCCTGATGATCTTTCCTTGTCCGTGTTCTATGCAAATCTTAAAACATCACCATAACACAGCATTTTTTAAAAATGTAATCTTTAAATTTATTATTCTTACCAGAACACCAGGCCATGTCATAAACCAGGTTTCCAATATATTGACCACCTAGACTATAGAGAATAAGAAACAATCTCTGCCTGAGTGGACTAATAATGTCATTAAATAGATTTATGGAAAAGTGGGGCCTGAAGAAGCCACAAATGCTGTCTACAGCCAATGAGAGAGACTCTGACAGAAACCACGTGAGAATTCCAAGATGAAATCTGGCATCACTTTGAGTCAAATGCAGCATTCTCACTATTTTAAGAGAAACAGGACTGAACATACCATGAAACACGCTATGAAGCATGTTTCTGCTTCATAGCCCTTTCCTCAGACAAATCAAACCTGGCATTTCATAAGTTTTCTTATTTTTAGTCCTTGTTCTTTTGCATCAAACATATTTTTCCCATGCCTCATGATTACAAACTGATACTTTTACAATGTAAGTTGGATACAACTATGTGTAATTCTATTCTCTGTTGAAGTGTTCATTAGTTAAAGTACAAAATTTTTCACAAGGATATATCCAATATTTACACTGCAATGTTTTTTCCCAACATGTCCTTCTGTGCAATGCTATTTCACTGCTTCTTGCTCTTTATCCTGCATTTCTATTGGGGCATTTATTAAGACTGGCTTTTCAGATTTCAGTTTCTTCTTTAAAATCAGGAGAATTAGTGTACTTGGGATGAAGGACACTCCACGTAACACTGCTGGCAGGCCAAGATACAGCCACCTGAAATAAATAATGAGTTTCATTAAATATATGCATTTATAAAAAAGAGCAAAACTATTCAGCAAACGTTTTTTAAAGTTTACACAGCCACTCTAAAACTTGTGCCCTGATGCTTTTGGATCTCACAGAAGATGAGAATGTGAGAACAGAGAATATGTCAGTCAGCAAAATATTTTACATCTCCCAATTTCAGGCAAATGACTTAGCTAGTGAAATCAGGCACCTGGTACTCTTATGGCTTTATCCATAGGGAAAAGAGAGAGTCCTGAAAGGGCTCAGACTACATGGTTAAAATTTCTAAGTATTCATAAGAATATTCTTCAAAATCAACCTCAAGACAGTATAACAAGGAATTAGTATGAGGCTGTAAGTTCAACAAGATTTTTCTTTAAAAATCCCACAACGATCCTTGAAGGACTACAAAAATATGGCATAATCTGAAAAAAAAAATGACATATGCAGTATTCTGGGCCAATTTCCAACATGAGTAAATGTATCTTCTCTATAATATTCTCTTTTTAAATTCGAGTACTGTTTCAACCATTTTCTGTTCAAAGATATTGCAGTCACCTATTAAACCTTTTTCCCACATGAGGTAACTGCTTTTCAGTATTTTCATCATAATTCAGTGTTTTTAAGGCTTGTTCACATTAAAGGTTATTAGTGAATATTATGGCACCTGAGCATTTCTGTTCAAAGGTTCTTTTCAATGTCTGTGTCAAAGGTTGCACTTGACAAATAAAGCCAATGCCAACGAAAATCGTGTGACATCTCTAGCACAGGAGCAGTTTGTCTACTAGGAAGACATAAAGTGGATAAAATTGCATCTCTATGCATGCAATAATAGAGTAAGAAGGAGAAATTAAAAGAAAGTAGAAAATATACCTGTATGTGACAATATCATACATCCTACATGCTCCTTCTCCACCACAAGTCATAGTACCCCACTTCAAGCAAGTGGTATCTATCAAAGCTCCAAAATAAATGGGAGATGGAATTCCAGCTAAAAAGAATATTAACAACATTTCTGAGAATAGCAAATCTCTTCTGGTTCTCAGATACACCACAGAGCCTATGCTGTTTGTCACCTACTCCATCAGTACTGTCCTCTTGCAGCATGAACCTCATTCTCTGTATATCTTGTGCTCCTTCCTTATCCACCTACCCTCAACTAAATATTTTCTTCCCTGCTGCCTGCTAAACCATACCCACATACTACAGTATGAACTGTGTTTCCTATTCAGAACTCAACATTTTCTCTCATCAAAGAGACTCAATGCTGTCTTAAATAAACATTAATAAACAAGAGTGAAGGAATGCCAAATGGCTTTCCAATGAGCAGCAGATGTAGTCCTGTGTCCTGGTTTCTGCTGGAATACAGTTAATCTTTTTCTTAGCAGGTGGTACAGTGCCGTGTTTTGGATTTAATATGAGAATTATGTTGATAACACACTAACGTTTTAGTAGCTGCTAAGATTTATGTGTCTCATGCTCTGTTAGTGAGGAGCTGTACAGGAAACCAGGGGGGAGGATGGCCAGGACAGCTGACCCAAACTGGACAAAGGGAAATTCCATAACCTGGAATGGCAAGCTTAGTACATAGAGTGAAGAGAAGCAGCAGGGAGAGATCAGCTGAGAGACGGGATGCGTATTAGTCAACAGATCACAAACAATTTTATTCTGCATCACTTTTCTTTCTTTTAATTCCTCTCTCTATTTTTCCTATTATTATTGTAATTTACTTTATTTCCATTACTAAACTATTCTTAACCTGTATGTTCTACCTTTTTTCCAACTCTCCTCCTTATCCCATGTGGGAGGAGAATAAGTGGATGCATGTGGAGGCCCAAGGGCCTATGACTAAAATCACCATACCTCCATCCTGGAAAGGAGGCAATAAATAACACCTCCTGAGGTTGGGGTCAGAAAAGGCCTCTGTCCCACAGATCTGCACAGTTAATGTAATGATAACTTTGCTCCCCCATTGGTTTATCAAGTTTATGTCACCCTAGTTTAGCCCCTGTTTACCCTATATGGATCTACCCTAGAATGTTCTCCCATCCCTCAATTCCCATTGGCCCCAGTTTGCTGCAATCCTCCACCCCTGTTTTCCTATTGGTTGTTCCTGCCCCTAACCCCGCCTCTGCACCACTTTTACCTATTTCTATTGGACCCTGACCGTCTGATCTGCCCCCTCTTACCCATATGTAATCCTGGACCCGCCACCCAGTTTTGTCCTTTGTCCCTGGACCTCTTTGATGAGTGGCCTCAATAAACCCCGTCAGAACTCCTTACAAAAGACCCTTCCTGACTCTCTTTACCAAAAGCTATCCGTAGTGTGTGTGTGTGGACTCTGTGACTGCTCGTGTGCCTGCCCAAACGCCTTCACCTGAAGGCATTTTTGGGAAGGCAGCAGCTTTTACCATCCACCCACAGTGCTACAGATGCAGCAGATTAACTTGGGGTTGAACCAAGATACCAGCCTGTTACCTGGTATGAATAAAAAGCAAACTGCAAGCAGTTCTACTTTGCCACGCTGCTGAGAGCTGGAAAAATAAATCCTAATTGCTTCTGTTCAAAAGCACTCCAAAGAAGCAGTGACTCCTGCCCCATGCCCATAACCCTGATGTGATTTTTCTCTAACTCTAGGTCAGCCCTAACTGTTTTTCTGAGGAGTGTTGGGTATTATCTTACCAAATACTCGTGAAGCCAGCCCATGGATACCCACTCCAAATGACTTCTCTTCGGGCTTTAGAGACCTGTACGATAATCACATGGCATGCTTACTGATAGAGGTGACATTAATAAGAGATGTTTAACTCTCTTTTTTAAATCAAGTTCTTCATCACATTAGGCCCAAAACATTCTAATAAGAGCATTGACTGAAAGAGTTGATTTTGCTCATTAGGTGATGTTTGCTGAAAAGTTCCTTATCTAGGACTGCCAAATCACAAAAGGAAGAGCTACTGTCAAGGTATCATCTGTTTGTACTGAGGCCAAAACAAAGTGCAGGATAGTTGTGCCTTAAAAATATATTCCTTTGGCTGATAAACACTCAGGTATCACACACCACTCAATAACCCAGTGCCCTGACTCAGTGGTCCTGCATTCATTCAGGATAAAGCTGTATTTGTTTATATTTATATATAAAGGATATATTCTGATAGCCAGAAGCAGCACCAGGTTACAGAGGTGATGTGACACTAAACCTTAACAGGATAGAAATGACACAATATTTTTCTGCTTTTCCTCTTTCCATATGCAAACTAAACAATTTTTAATTCCCTGGAGAATTAAAACTTCAGAATAAAAAGTCCAGTAGATTTCTTAAGAAAAGGAAATTTTACTGTACCTTATCAGGACCATGTATCCAGGCATGGCTGCTAAGGAAAAAATGAAGCTGCAGACTAATGACAATATAGATTGTCCAAACTCACACTCTGAGTGGCAAACCCACACTCTTGGCATCCATCTCACTGTCTCCTGCACCTGAGCTTGTTACTCATGAGCAGCACTGCACTGTGCCCCTCTCCCAGCTGCCAGGCACAGGTCCAGCCATCCCCTGTATCTGGGCATAAAAGTTCTATAATACCTGGTTGCTTGTTTAAATCTACAGGGTAAAATAAACTATTAAGTCCATGCTACAGACTTTTATTTTGGCTGAAATGTTCTTGGGCACTTAAGTTTCCAATTGGCAACACCTTCAGGATAATTTCTCACTTTGTGTTAAGCATTTAAGACTCCTTTAGCTCTTAGTAGAGAAGAATTCTTCTTCATTTTATTTTTTAATTTAAATTTAAACTAATTTTCCTAATTTCTGGTGCTACTCAGTGAATTTGTTCAAATCTTTCACCTTATATATTCAATTAAATGCACATGCTTGGATATCTCCCACCCTGTGTTGGTATTTCTCACCTACTATATTTCATAGTTAAAGTACAATGAAATTCACGCTTTACCACACTTCTTCCAGTTCCTCTTGAGGATTTACACCCAGCAAGACAAGGTGACACATAAGTGATTCCATTGTTTCCACAAACAGGGTCCCATATTTTAAGTGGGCAATCACAATCCACGTTGCAGCCAGCCAGTAGAGTATTTTCTGCATATGAAATTTGCTCTATTCTAAAACATATTTAGAAGACAAATAAATGTTCCAGTAATGAGATACCCACAGTAACCCTTTGCAGTGCTTAAGATTTTACTCTAGCTCAAGTGTTGAATCAGGACCCAGTCCTACAGGCTCCTACCCTGAAGTTATGCCTTTCTATCTTTCTAGGCACTAAGTTTTATTATATTTTAATTAATATTTTAAATTATTAAATTTAAATAAATTTTAAATTATTAAAAATATTATGCATACCCTACAGCATTTTTCTCATCTATGGCATTTATGTTCTTTATTGTCCATAAGTGCTGCATCTACATCTCCATGTCCATTTTACAGACACACGACACAACCTGGTCTAGTGGAAGGTGTCCCTGCCCATAGCAGAGAGGTTGGAAATAGAGGATCTTTAAGATCCCTTCCAACCTAAACCATTCTATGAATCCCAATCCTGCAATGATCAGTGGCAGGCTCCAGATCAAGAAACTGCAGATAAAATATTCCCTGATAACTTGATAGTAATCAAATTTGAGTAAACTGATAAGATCAAGAAGGGGATTTTTTTCCTCTATTTTTCTGAAATTGAACTCATGTATGCCTGATTTGACCAACAACTATTATTTTCACCTGCAGTTACATGACTTTACTAATTGTATTAGTTGAAGAATTAATACGGACATGCAATTGCATGAGTCTTGATGTAGATATATATTTTTACTACTCTTTTATTGTTTGAAACAGGGTTATCAGACCTAGAGTCTCATGCAAGCAAAAAGCCTTGAGAATTTAGAATAGGGAACTGAAACGGAGCTCCTGGCTGATTCTTGACAAGCAAAATCCTTCTGGTGTCTTAAGACAAGTCCTCTTGAGTCCCAAAGAACGTACCCTTGATAGGAAACTGTTAGACCAGCAACTGGTGAGGTATCACAGACAGTCCAGTAGGCAGCAAAGTAGAGAAGGTATTCCAGTAAGGACACCCAAAATGCTATGTTGGCAGCCTGGTAGATACTTATCTTGAACTTCTTCATGAATAAGCCGCCGGAAAAATACCCAACACATAGAACTGGTAAGTTGTAAACACCTATTCAAACGAGCAAAACTTCCATGTTAAAATAAAGGAGACCATCAAAGCTACTCTACTATAAGGTAACTAGAGGGGTAGCCACTATAGCTGCTGTAAGGGAAGGTTGTGACTGGCAAAGAGTCAGAGTGCCTGTGACTGAATAATTTAACTACAATCAGAAATGGGTCTCTGCTAATTTTCTTTCACACCCAAAACCTCTGCCAGAGTCAACAGCCGGTGAGAACTGCCTGAGGAGTGAGCTACAGGGTAGGATTAAAATTGTTAATTGGAAAATCGCAATCTAGAGTTGCTCTCTAGATCCAACTCGAAAAAAAAAAAAATTTAAAAGAAATTATATGGTTTCAATCCATCTTCTCCAGTTGACTGAGAAACTCAGCAGAAAGATAAGCTGCTGCACGTCTTAATTGAGACACATCTTAATGCACTCTGAGCATGACAAAAACGAGGAACAAACTTTCAGTTTTGACATGAGATTATTGGATGTGCTCTCACACTTCTTTGCTGATTGATATTTAAAAAGAATCAAATTCTTACTGAAAGACATGTTCAAAGTGGTTTTTCACAAACATCACATGGCTTAGTTTCGTATCAGCTTAATTTTCTGAGCTGATTCAAAAGATGGGAATGAGATTATAAAATTCTGCACAAAAAAAATTAGATATTTAGCAGAAAGATGTTTAGAAATGCTTTGTAATATGATATCAGTCACCATAAGCATTTAACCTTAGTATGTTTATGTAAATACACATGAACATATGTATATATGTAAAAATATAGTTAACTTGAATAGAGACATCACTAATTGATAGAACAGAGCAAAGCAAAATGCAAACATACCAATTAAAAATATGGCATCTGATGCAGACTTTCCAAACTGCTGCTCCAGGTATTTGGGCATGAAGGATATCATGCCATCAAAGGCACTGAACTGTAACACAGTTATGCATATAAATAACATGTACACAGGGTTGTGAAACAGAGCCTTGAGGAAGGGGATGAAATCTGGAATGAAACAATGCCATGAGTTAGTGGGATGTTTCATGAAAACAGCGTGGCTGTGGGGGAAAGAAGGGAACAGAAATGGTCCTCAACTGGATCAGGCTAAATCTTGTGCTTTGTCAGACACCACAGGCCAAAGATTACTTACTTAGCCCAGGGTACTCTAACATGTCTCCTCTACCCAAAGATACCCTCACACACACCTGCACAAGAGTGCAGCTGTTGCTTATAAAAAAAGAATAAATCACAGCAGCAGCTACTGCTGCATCTTTCCTCCCTTTTCTGTCATCTCATGCCCCCAGAGCATTCATCAAAACCCCTGTCCTGCACCTGGCACACGAAGGGGTGCAAATGCACTACAGAGTTGTGACAAGCTGCCCCAGAGACCTGAATGCTGATTTTGGGGGTTGCTGCTGGGGCAGGAGAGGCCTCAAGAGAGCTGTGACCATAGTTATTTCTGCCATCCTCTCAAAATCTGTATCAGCCAGTTTTCATCCAAGTAAGTATCTGAGAAACTAATTTACACACAGGTCTTTTCTCTGCGTAATGCCCATTAAGTCAGGATTTGAACCATAAAAAAGCCCCACAATTCCCCTTTGTCTAATGTTCTCTGTTAATCAATGTGCTGAACTATTGTCAAGAAACTCTGCAGATAAATTTAAGAATCTACAAAACAATGACTGGGCCTCACTGAAAGTGGGCACCACTTAGAATGGGTGTGTATCTTTCAGAGGTAAGCAAGTACCTTTTTAGAAGATCTGTATGCAAATTTTTCAAAAATTAGACAAATATTAGAAACACTATAAATAGGCTGCATTATTTACAGATGCAGTGACATTTTTAATCAGAGCTTCTTAAAGAAATTTTATTGTTATTGAATTTTCAGGACCCAGCTGGAAACAGCACAGAGAGGGAGCTGCCACATGGAACTTACTTTCTGAAAATGAAGGTCCTGTCAGAGAGCCCTGAGCAGGACAGGATCAGAAGACTACTCTGAAGATCATAGCCTTTGACATAACTTATTCAGTTACATTTCTAACCAGGAAATGTAGGAAGGATGTTTCCTTCAAATAAGGAAAGGAAAAAATAACCTCCTACAGATCCACAGATTTGAAAGACCACGGATGTGAAAAATGCCAACGGCGACATGAATAACATGGGTCGAATACATCTTTGTTCAACAGTGATGAAATGTTTATGAGGCACTTAAACACCTGACAATTCCCTTTTAGGGCTTTCAGTTGGACTCAAGAAATGCACAAGATTTGTGTTGGGTTTCTGCTTTTCTGCACAGTGAATGTGGGGTACAAGCAACCACGATCTGCAACTCCACTGATGAGCTATACTCATATATATACATACATACATACATACATACATACATATTTATTTATTTATTTGTTTTTATATATATATAATATACAGCTCACTGAGCTGTAATATTCCTGACCAGATTTTAACCCTCTCATGGGAAGGAAATACCCACATACACCTGAAGAAAAAAGAAGGAGTCCAGGTCCTAGATCTATGGAATCAGATTTCTTCCTCTGCAAGGAGCCATTCTAAATTCCTGCACAAATCCTTTGAACTACAGAGGCATCAAAACAGAGTAGGCATTGCATATCTTGGACCCATCTTTAATTACACCAGTACACAGAGTTCACACCTTAGGACTAAAGTAAGAAACACAAATTCTTACTAAAGAAAGAAGGAAATAAAATAAAATATAACTTGCCTTTAGCAATTTCATACATGGTCTGCTTGGTTTCATTTCTATCATTTTCTTGCAATGGTGCTACACTTTTTTCAGTTGTCTCTTCAGGTTCATTGCTTTCACCTTCCTTCACAAGTGACTTGGGCAAAAACCAAAATGGTATTCCCACAAGAAGATTCAGCAGTGCACAAATCAAAATGCCCAGCCACCATGCTCCAACCCAGCGGGCATCAGTAGCTGTTATAGTTATCTCATCTATAATAAAACACAAAAACAGACATCTTGGATCACTTCAGAAACATTCTTTGCTGTCGTTTTGTGCTTTCCTGGTCACCTCTGACATTAAAGCATTTTAGTGTATCTTAAAATGAGGCTCATGAAGGAAAATATTCTCTAGACTTCTTTTCTAATGTTGCTAATGTTCTGGCAAATTTTGGTGGCTTGTATTAAATTAATTCTAGTCCTTTCCTCTGTTAAGCCAGATGACACAATTTTTAATCAAATAATTTATAAGCAGATTGATTTGTGTATATATGAATTGAATATTATTTGCAGATCTTCCATTCTGAAAGAAACACCAACAAACTCAAGTAGGATTAACACATATTAACAAGGAGAAATCTTTTAGTTCTGAAAAATGCACCAACTATAGACTTAAAAATAAGGTTTTATATGTTCATTACCTGCACCTACTGATCCAATGTCAACAAACAGCTCTGCACAGAATGAAGCCAACAATAAACCAAGGAAGGGGCCAATTACAGTTGCTGTATGTAGACATGCTAGAATAGGAAAAAAAGAAAACATTATCAATTAGAACCCAGACATAATTATCTTCTTGGAATTCTTACAAATGTTTAGCACAGCTGTACTGGAAAAGCATTTGCACTTAAAAATGGCATTCCAACAAGTTTCTCTCTGGTTAAATTACAAGTTCTACATTATTATTATTTTGATAAGGTAATATTTACTGTTCTCTGTCATCCTTGATTAGACTGAAGGGCACCATAATAATCCTTTCTTTTGCTTTTGTTTATGTCTGTTTGTGTTTGGAAGAGGGGAAATGTCACAACAGGATAGATTTACCCAGGTAGAAAGGTGAATTCTCTGCTTTGGCAAAATCCTCCAAATAAGAAATGCCTAAAGGCATGATGGGAGTTTCACCCATTCCTCGCACAATGTTTCCAACCATCACAAATATCCACAGCAAGGACCCAGGCTCCTTTTCACATTCTGTGGATTAAAAAAAAAAAAGGTCAAAATGAATGTTTTAGTCCCAAATGTTAATGAAAATCTAGAGGCAAAGAATTGACCAATAGCTTAAGGTTTGGTGGGTAGGCCTGTCCTATAAAAAAAAAAATAAATAAATGGTCACAATACTTTTTCACTTCCTTTCTCTCCTTGAAGTGGGATCTCGATCCCATAGTCTGCTTCAGATTCCACTGTTCTCACCCACTTGGTCATGCTGAGATTTCTCAGTGCAAATTCATTAACAAATAAAAACCAGCTTTGTTAGCAACAGCTGCTGCCTTTCTGAGTGAAAGCATCACTGACCACAGATGGAACCCAAATCTCCTGTTTCAGTGTCAGACTGCTGTCAGCAAACACAGGTGAAGCAATCCATGTGCAGATGTGGTCAAATGGACTCACATATATGAATATCACAGCCTTGCTTGTCCATAGACCAATGGAGAAACAATCCTTTTAACCAAGTGTATTCATAGGCTTGAGGATCTGTGGGTTCATTACCACATTTAATAATTTAATAATTAATTAATTTAATTAATAAATTATATTAATATCTTATTAATTTGATAATTTAATAACTGGGTGATTACCCAGGAGGTAATCTGATCCACCCCACCCTACAGAGCATGAGTGTCCTTACAAGGGACATGCTCTGCAAGAGCTCTGTAGTCTCCTTTGCCCAGCTATCGAGGGAGTTTAATAGGATGGTTCAGACTGAATGCTTCCCTCTGAGGCAGGGAGATTAATCCCACCCTCAGCATGAGAAATTTGTGTGTTTTCATTAAATGGTTTCCCCTGAGCCCTTTGACATCCCATTACATGCACGTTTGCTAGTGCACGTACATGTTTCAGTCTCACAGATAAGTTTTAGCTCGTTTAAACTCCTTTCTCTAAAGGGAAGTGAGATCTATATTTTAGTTCTAGCTCTGTTTCTCATTCTTGTATTTTCTGTGTGGTACAATATAAAAACATCCTTATGCCTCTTACCCATTGTTGAAATATGTTTCCCACTTCCCCATGGTATCACAGGATTTCAAGTCAAACAGAGGAACATTAGTGAGAACAACCTGGTGTTATACTATCTCAAAGTAGACTTGCCAGGGATGTTAATTAACTGCCTGGATAATGTGAAAACTGCATGAAAGAAATGTTTTAGCCCTGGAGTCACAGACCAAAGAAACACAAAGGCCAGGAAATTTCCTGATCTCTAGTTTCTAGGCTTTCAAAAAGTGCTGATCAAAAGCAGAGCCCTGAAGCGATTGCTAATAAAAATAAAGACCTATTTACTTAGACACTTAGACAAAAATAAATATTAATAGACACAGGAAAAGTCATACCTGTTGATGGTTCCTCTGTAGGCAAAGCAGACAAATTTTGATTAACAAGGCATAAAGGCATCACTGAAAAATTTTCCCACTGTGAAATGCTGCTTTCAATACGATACCTGTTGGAAACAAAGGAAAGCATTTACAGGTCAAGAAGGTATTCATAAGAACCATCTCATTTGTCTGTACTGAAGTAATGGAGCTACCTATAGGAAGAGTGTGTAGCTATAGGAAGAAGGGAATCCATGTCAAAAATTAATTGAAGAGAGGGTATTCCCAAGGCTGTCAGAGCCATTCCACACTGGACACAAGAAGATGGAAGGAGCAAAAAATACCTTGTTGATTAAAACCTACACAACCTTACATTATTATTATTTTCAAATCAAGCAAAAAATAATTTGAAAGTTGTTGCAGAATAGTAATTTTGGTCAGTACAGGCCTTGCCAACACAGTGACCAGGTATGATGTGTCATTCAGGTTCCTGACCAAGAAATCTTTGAAAATCACCTTCTATTGTCCATCCAAGCAGGTAACAGCTAGTGTAATGTGACAGTACCACAGCCCACTGTTACTTGGGAGAGCCCACGCAAGGGGGAGCAAAAGAATGAAGTCAAGGGCAAGGGAAGGTGCCTACCAGAGGGGTGACTCTCCTCAGGAGGGGATGCCTGACTTTTGAAGCCATCTCAGGAGCAAAACCAAAGAAATGGCTCTGCAATGATCATAATGAATCTGTGCTCAGCAGTGTCTGTCCCCAAAAGCATCACACTGACTAGAAGGATGTAGGGATTAATGCAAGTTAGGATCACAGAAGCTGCTGTGAGTTGAGCAAAACACTCACCTTCCAAAGAGAAAATGAGGAAGTGATATCAGAAGGCATCCAAATGAAAGAATTGTGCAGCCCAAAGCAATTATTCTGGGTCTGTGCAGCTTTGCTCCGAAGTAACTCACAAATGCAATCAGCAGCAAGTTACCTGCAAAGAGAACCTGGTTCACAATTTACAAACCAAAGCATCCCATGATCTCTGAAAGTGCAGCACAAATTTAAGTAAATCTTGTAAGCTCAACTTCTGTTTCTTCTCTTGTCTTATAAAAAGTGTCACTAGACAGGGAACTGCCTACAAGGTGCAGTAATTCCCTGCTATGTATGATCTCTTTTTGGAAGTTATGTCACACGAAAAGAACATGAGAATAAAAGGCAGAATGGAAAAGAGATCACAGTGAGAGAGATTTTTGAGTGAATCTTTATAGAGAAGAAATTTCCCTCTACTTTGCATAGAGATCAGACCCAGGAACTTCAGAATAATAGCTGTTTTAGGAAGTTATTCCCCTAGGATACTTTATTTTGTAGTGTGTAGGGAAATACAGAAGTGTATACTGTAGTGTTTTTGTAGTGAAAATAATAAACACAAGAGGACAATAATACAAAAAAAAGAGGAATAATAATTTAATACTAACTTCAGTAATTGCTTTAAGAATAAAAATTAGAGGCTTTTATACCTAGTACCATTTAAAAACAAAAATGTACTAAAAACCTTCATTTTCCTCTTCTCCACTTTCACTTAGAATCAGTTGATTTTCTTAATTTATTGCTATGTGACTAAGAAAAGAATCAAGCTTCATGTTATGAATCAGGCCCTATAAAAATAGCAATTAAGTAATTGTACACCTACTAATTTTGTGATCTTTTTGTCAGAAGAACAAAATCATGTCTCTGACTGATGAGCGTCATGCTCTGAAAAAAAATAATGCCTTTTTTATGTATAACTTCTCAACAGGCTGTATTGAACCAGGGGCTCAAATGACACTTGAAGATGTACATTTAAATTTATCACTGGACAATAAAACTTACTGACAGGCAAGGTCAGGGGCACTAAAAATAGAACATGAAATTTTCTTTGCAGGTACAGTTGTACAGGTATGAAACCTTAAAATATTGTTGAGTTTAGATGAGGATTCACAGCAACCAAGTTTAATTAAAGGAGCTGCAAAATGCTAAATATGACCTTAAATTCAAACAAAGTTTACAGAGTTAATTTTTGTTTTCTTCAGAAATATTCAGTACACATCTCATAAAATAGTTCTGCTTTCTTAGTTGCTCTGTCATATCTTGTGATAGTGCAGAAATTAGCCCAACCAGTTTTTAAACCTATATTTGCCCATTCAAATGGTCCTACTCATTTCCAGGACATGAAATGGTTACATACCAGCTCAAAAGAATGACAGAGTTGGCCACTATTGTCACATACAGTAATTGGGAGCAAATGAGAGTCACTAGTACCACATTACTATGCTCAGACCACACACATTACATTTTTAAAGAATCAGAAATATTAAAATGAGAGATTACCAATTTCAAAGCTTCCATTAATGATGCCCACTAAAGAAGCTGGGATATTAAACTGTTTCTCTATCTGTGTGTACATGCTGTTCATGTAAGCACCAGACATCGTTTTCCCAAGGAATGCAAGTGACAGTGCCAGCAGAAATACCTAGGAAGGGAAGAGAAGAATACATAAAGAATTCAGAATTATATATATATATATATATATAAAACCATATTCCATGGTTATTTCCTCCAGTGAAGGTGTGCTTCCAGTTAAAAAAGTGGGCAGTTCTGTTCCACTGATATGTGTGTAAATCCCATCATCTATTCTTTTCTAGAGTAATGGCTTCACTAAACAAAAAAAACAACAAAAAAAATTTAAAAAAAAAAAAAAACAACCAAAAAACCCCAAACAAACCACCCAAAACCATGGTTTTTCATCTTGACTGACCAAGACTGTCTTCAGAAACCCCAAGTCCCATTCACCCAGCCAAGGCAGCCGTGTGCCTGCTGCAAGGTTGCCATCTGCAGGACCTTCCCACCCTCTGTTCATCTGAATGACAAATTGCTTGCAGAACTAAGGTCATTTCCTTTGGCCAAATTACTCGATCCAGGATCTGCTCTCCCATCTCATCAGAGGTCATGAGGCCAGAAAAATTGCAACCAAAAGGAGTAAATAACATGTCCTTTTTGCCAGTTAGTAGCAACTGAAAGTTAAAAAGTTAAAATTAATGAGTGAAGTAGTATTCTAATCCTTTTAACTTCAGGCTTCTTTATAAACAGCATTTATGAAATAAAATCAATATTACTTTTAAATACATCTGCTGCAAATGCTAAAAAGCAAAAGAAATGTATTTGGGTTTTTTAATTACTATTTTTAAAAAGCTATTTTACAAGATTTCTAGCATTTCTTGACAACTTGAATTACTATTCAAGATCAACAGCAAATTTTTGCTGCACATCCCAGTCAGTAAGGCTCATTTCACAGCTTTAAGAAGGAAGGGTAAACGTTTTAGACTGGGGGGATTACACAAAGTCAGTGGTGGAGCTTCAAAGCAGCAATCAATCAATACCTCCAGCACATCACAGAGTGTAAAGTTCAGGGAGAGCAAAAACCAGCTCAGCTGTTTACAAACGTTTTTGACCTTGGTTAGGGCATTAGGTGTAAAAAAGAACAGGTTATTCATTCATTTAGTCTAAGCTGTAACTTCTACCAATGCAAGTAATTACAGTTTTGTGTTCCTCCAAAATCACTAAAATATTGCTGTACCTTCAGCTTGGAAATGCAGCAGATTTTGTCCTCTGCACGTGGCTTCTCAGGCTCCTTCATGTTGCCTTTTTTAATTGATACTGATGTCTGTTTCTGGGTCTGTCAGCCATCCCATTACAGTGGTGAAAAAAAAAAATGAAAGAAAAGAACAAAAGTTTTTGTCCCATGTTTGAAAAAAATATTTTATTCCTTCTAAGAGATTTGATATTTTAGCATTTTCCTTAAATAATTGCAAACTGGATTGCAACAAAGCCTGCAAGCCAATGGATTTTATTCTAAATGAACCAACTTGATTAGAATAGATACATTAATCTCTTGGCATTAAAATTAGAGGAAATTAAAATAAAACCAAAACCACCAGACCAACTCGAATTCTAAATGGACAAAAAACAGACTCCATTCTCCTTCCCCTCCCAAGATTTTCAAAAACATTCCTCTTTATTCATCTGCCTACTTTTACTTATCTCCATCTCAGCCTGATGATTAGAGTGTCTCATAGTGCTAATCTGCCTGCTTTCATAACATTTTACATATATTCCAAAAATGTGTTCAAAGAGGGAGCAAACATATTCCAGGGACTTGGATATACTCACGTGTAAAAGCCCCGACACATCTGAGGGTTTGGACAATGAATTAAACAGCTCTCATTCTGAGGACTCCTACAAAGGCTGCATTAAATAAAGTTATGCCATACAGTTCCCTGATGGCAAGCTGAAGCAAATCAGGGAAGAGCCCTACCTGATAGGCAGGATGGATACAGGTTAATTTCCTCTTTTTTTTTTGTCTTGGATACACTTTCCAAGTGTAGCAGCTGCTCTGCTCTGTGTTTTTTCACCTCATGGATCCAGGGCTGGGGAGCAAGCTTGACAAGCCCACCAATAGGACTGAACCATGTTTCAAATTCTTCAGCTCGACACCCTCCTGGTCAATCTCTTCAAACATTAATTTCTACAACAATGTTAATCCTCTCAAATGTGTTTCCTAACTAACTTGGTTCCTAGCAAATTCACAGGCATTAACTCCTTCTGTAGCTACCTTCTCACTTCCAGTTTTTAAAACCATAATGCATCATTACAGCATTCCTGTAAATATTTTACATTTAGTTGTAGGTGGTCAGCACTCAGACAATAGATACAGAGGTTTTATTTCTGCTTTGCTCACATGAAGCCCACCAGCAATACCAAAATATAACAGCAGTGCCCTATATCTGTCCTCTTCTAGGAGCTGGAAAGGGATTCTTTCCCTTACTGCTCCAGTCCCTGCATTTCACTATCACACTCAGGGAGCATCATCTGGCTAATTGCAGGTTTTCTCTTCTGGTGCTACAAGATACCAGACAACAACCTGTTACCATTTGACTTGGGGAATCAGACACATCACACTGCTCCTCATGCAATTACAGAAGACAAAACAGCATTGTTTGCCTTTAATTATTTATACCTTCCCTCAGAGCATAAATTATGATCTGGAAAAAAAAAAACCACCACATTTCAATCAGTGTTTTACTGGGAAGATTATTAAGATTATTAATTGAATAACAAAGTAGACAGAATATTTCCAGCTCTGTTTCTGAAATTACTTCCCCCAGCTTTATAATATTTTGTGGTCACACTTTGTCAAATGTTACTAAAACCAACACAGACTAACAGCCCAAATTATCAGAAAGACACAGGTCCATAGCTCACTCAGCTCAGGTGCATTCACACCTCACTTAAAGTCCAGGTTAGAATTTAAATTACAATTTCTGTGCCTAAAGATTAACCAAGTGTGCTCCCACTCCCTTCTGCCATCCACCTGCTCTCCATTGTACATTCCTCTTGAGTGCCTTGTTTACACTCTTGGGCTCCTCAGACTCATCTGCAAATATCTTTAGCTCATTAAACAGGCCAAAATATAGCTATATTAAAATACAGCTACATTAAGGCAGTTATGCAGAGGTTTACCCCTGGGTTATTACTGACCTACCAGCTGTCATGTAAACACCTGCACCTGAATCCCACTCAAGACCTGCAATGTTTGCTGGAATTTCAGGGAAGAGGGCAGTAAAATTCCTCCCTCCCCTTCTGCACTGAATTGGTGACACATTTGTGGCAGGCTGGGAAGTTGGCAGTGACACCAAAACTTCAGTCATCTCCTCTGTCTGACAGAATCTCCCTGGGCAGGCAGAAAGACAGACAAGTGATGAGAAGACACCCACTTTGCACAGTGCACAGAGGTTTCTCACAGTGTGGTCACTTCAGAGCAGCTGCAGCACACACAGCATCCCATATAAACTGGGCTGGACAAGGCTGCCTTAAAATCAAAGCAGATCCTTCCTGTGTGGGCCAAAACAGGCTTTTTTGGTGCAGGCAGACAAGCACTGAGACATCACTTTGGACCCATTTGTCCCACACAAACCCAGCAAGACATTTTATAGTTTTAAATTCACATTTCATTCTAGCTAACTAATAAAAAAGGACAAAAGCACCCAAATATCTAGATTTAAAGTTGATGATGCAATGTTTTGTAAGTTGCCTTGCTGAAGTCCCAGGAGGACATGCTGCTTTAAATGTAAAATTCATCTTCCATTTAGCTCAGCTTAGTCATATAGATAAACTGCCACATCTTTATTTCGTTCACAGGGTTAAAAATCACAAAACATAACGACTCAGAAAGCAATTATGGTGTCAGAATTTTTAACTAATTTACTTCTCTGGTTGCAAAAAGCTTTTTGAAATCTTGTTTTACTAGGTACAGTTCAAACTGCTACTCAAATGCAATTACACTAATGTTAGACTGAGACAACAGAAAATATTCTCATGGCAAAACAATTAGGTACTTACAGTTCTGAAAAGGTTTCTGCAAGAAATCACTGATATGGCACACTTGACCTTTGACATTAAATCTGCATTGTTGAAAATTAACCAAGCATGGGGCCAAACTTGTGTTTTTGCCAAATTTCAGCTGTGCATTTTAGAATGCTCAGATGTGACAGACATGGACCAAATTCTTAGAAGGAAAATTAAGCCCATCTCTTTCTCTTCCCTGCAAAAAAAAGGGACCAAGGGCTACATCTGTGTCAGATCTCTGAGCATGAAGCACTCCTGTCCACTGAAGACATCCAGAGAGCACCCACAAGCAAGGTGGGACTTTAGGAATGCATGTAAGTATATAAATGTACAGGCTGGGTGGAGTTCTAGGAAAGAATGACACAGGGTCAGAAGGGAAGAGGGGAATGAGATTTGTGTTACTGATTACTGGATGTTACAAAATCAGAGAGTAATCTGGCCAAGCATAAGTAGTTCTAGTTAACCTGACAGGAAGAGATAATTTGAATTTATTAAGTCCTTTAGACATCACCTAAGAATCAGTAGGTACACCTTCAAGTCTTGGTGCTGAGACAGGTTTCATGTATGACCTTAAAACTCTTGTTGACACTTGCTTTTGTCCCCCTGCCAGAAAGTACCAATGCACACCAGAATCCTAAATGCTGCATGTAAAACGTGCAGTGAGGGTGGGATTGGGATTTGTGAAAGCCTGAATTTCTGATATGGTGTCTTCTTAGTTCTCACACATGGGAAAAAGTCTCAAGTAAAAAGCTCTTTACATGGTTCCAATATGTGAAAAGCCTCATACTTCCTCAGAAAATACACATTTTCTTAGAGCTATAGCACTGCTTTCCATTTTCTCTTCCTAGTGGTCCTCAAACCACACCTGATGTCTGCCTGTACTGAAATTTAGTTTATACATCTTAACCAGAAATAGAAAGGATGTTTCCACCTTTGATCCTCTAACAAAAATCTGAGGTAAATTCTTATTTCACCCTAAGGTATTTCAACAGTTTTCTTGCATTTTATATTTTCTTCATTTACCCACTGCCACTTTTTGGAAATGAAAAAAATCCCATGACAAGATAATAAGACAAAACCTATGGTCCAAAGTGTGAGGATATTGCCCACTGAAATAAGCAAAATGGGGAAATAAAAGCCATTGTCCTGGAGTTTAACAAATTATCAAATAAATAGCCATTAAATAAGTTTTACTGACATTAAAAATCCCCAAAACATAGTAACATCACAGGACTGTGCAATTCTACAGTCTCTGTAACATTATTTTATTCAACAATAATTTCAGCTCAGGGCAAGTAAGGTTGAAGATTCAGACTCAGCTCAGTATTTACAAAAAATGAAAATCAAAATTTCCAGTCAAATAAACACCACCTTGTAGTAGGCACTTAAAAATTTCCTTTAAATACTTATCTCCATGACAGAAAAATTAACCCAGGGGTTACTTTTAAAGGGGAGTTTAAGTGATTTTTAATTGGCAACAGGTACAAATTAAATAACCTCTCCAAGAATATATATGTGAAGTTATCATATGTTCATAAATGCACAGTTAAATGTTCAGCAAATTTATGTAAAAATCAATACATAGGGCATTCAGCATTGTTCTTGATTGTGATTAATTCATGGGTAATAAAGCATTATAGAGTCTATGACATCTTAGCATACAGAATTCTCTTCTTCTCCATGGGATTCTGTTAAAGGCCATATTCTCACTGAGTTCACTCTTTCCTGCCTTATCAACCTTCTGTATTGAGGAACTGAGACACCACAGGTGTTTTTTTCCTGTCTGGAGAGGTTTTGTGTGAGGGGTAGCTCTGTTCATTCAGATGCTTCATTATGGGGAATATACCTCGAGAACATTGAGTATCTGTACAGAATCAGGTATAACCTATTCTTAGCAAGGAGTTGTGTTGAAGATGCTCACTCAGAGCCTCACAATAGGATGAGAGTCAGATATTTCCAGAGAGTAATTAATCCCATTTTAAGACAGCTGTCTAAAATAAGTGGGAGGAAGAACCTCTCTGGAGGTGCTTCTTTCTTCCCCTTGATTTGGAAGTCTCGAGAGCTAAGCTTAGTCTGGATAACTAATTTTTAGACAGATAAAGACCAGATCAGCTGACTCCTGTCCTGGTTATCTTTCTTTGTGTCATTCTAGATCCACTCATCTTGGCCAAGGAGCAAAAATCCTGTGAGCCAGCATCTCCCAGCCTAAGGTCAGGATCCACTTACAGCTGCTTGTGCAGACAAATTCAAATTCAAATGGATTAACAGTGTTCTTATGGAAATCAGTATAAGTTCTCAGTGAAAAATACAGAGTACAATTATTGGTCCTAGTCTAAATGTTGTATGTCATGATGATCTACCTACCAAAAACGCAGATGACATTTCTGGCCTCACTCTAAACACAACACATTGTTTTGAAACCACTAAGGACCAGGTAGCTCTTTCCCAGCACTGCAGTTGTAAGCAACCACTTCTAATCCAAGGAAAAGCTGGGAATGTCAACTATTTCTCCACAGAACTCCAACGTCCCTGGGTTGCACATCCCATGGGAAGTGGAATGCAAGCTAGCAAGGATATCATGACACAGAATAGGTTCACCATCATTTCCCCCATCAGTTCAGAGCTGGATTCTCCATTAATCAAAAATGCATTTATAAAGGCAGTGTTTGTACCAAAAGAAGGTAATGAAGAGGAGCCACAAGGTCTCATTGCAGTGACTAGTGAAGAGACTCACAGGTAAGATCTTGATGTACTCAAACCAGGTAGAAAAGCATCCATCTGCATTTAATAAAAAATAGGGTGCTGTTTACCCTGATAGGCACAGAAACACAGATAGGCACAAAACTTTCTGCCCATTTTGAGTCTGAATTCAGATTTACTTTGAAAATCCAGTAAGATCTTCTTCCCTCTCACCTCAATAGAGTTCGTGTCAGCTACATGAACTTATAAAATATAGAAAAAAATTCAGATCTGTCTCCTGTCCTCAACTCTGCCATCAACTCTACTCATCCCTTTCAACTCATGAGTGCCTCAATTTTTTGTCCCATGTACCACAGGAACAATAAGCAAACTTTTCTAGAAAGCATTTAAACCCGTATTTTGGAGATAATGCTGCATAGGTACAAAACATTATTCCTGTCTGGTTTTCATAACTAGTTATTTATTTAAAGTAGTGATTGTGTCATAACAGTTTCTCCCTTAAGAAAGCAGTTCAGCACATTGATTTGCAGATGTATGGATTTGGAGGCTTTGCTTTTGTTTTGGCATAGCATATTCATGCCTTCTAGCCTTGCAGCAAAATTCATAAAGACATAAAATTTTTTATTCTTCATAAAATTTGCTGCAAGTCTGGAAGACATTCTGTTGTACAAACTTCTGGTTTTAAATGTTAGAAAACATAAATGTTTCAATTGTCAAAACAGCTGTTCAGAATGTTGAAAACCTAATTATATACTTTTGGGCAGTACTTCTTAGTTAAAGTACAAAGGGATTTGTTGTGTGATCAGGTCGTCAGCTTTCCACTAACGAGGCAAATTGTCTCAGGAACATACTTTGAAAAAAGTTAAAGGAATGAATGTACTGCAGGTTGACTGGCAGTTCAAAGCTTCAAAGTCTCTCTGGAGCCTTTTCCTCTGGAAAAAATGACATTACCTATGATTCATCAATCAGTGGTTTATGTAACCTGATAGCATTTCACTTTCACTATCCATCAAGTCCACAGGGTTTTTGGTGTGTGATAATATGCTTTGTGTGCAGAGATACCATCAGGATAGATGGTTAAAGGTGATAGTCCTGGCCTTTCTAGGTAAACTTTACTTAGCTCAGTCCTAAAAGTTGTGAAACATGAGTGGAAGATCCAGGATCTTTTGGGAATCAGGCACATAGCTAGGCATGCACCTGTGAGCACAGCTTTCTAGATACAAACATCTCATTTATAAAACATGGGAAATTTTCATAGGATCCCCTGAAATAGATACTCTTTCTCAGAAAGGTTAAAGTTGTATGAAATATACATCCTCTTTTGGCAGTGAAAATTAAAGCACTGACTTCAAATAAGTGTGGCTTTAAGAGTTCCTAATAAAAAATAACTCACCTCTATGATGATAATGACTGTGGTTGTTTCAATAAGGGCTTTTTAAACTTCTCAAATTGTTATGAGTATTGTAAAAGGCAGCAGAATGATATAATGCCTTAAAGCAGTGGGCTCTAGTGATCCATAACACCATGAAGATTATGCCTGCCTATGAAAACATCCTAAAAAAATAGTTGGAGTGTGTTAACCCCTCATTTGCATGAAGTGGTATGAAATGTTCTACTGACATGAAATTAGAGATGACATTGCCAACATTGCTCATTTTTAACCACAATACCACTAAGCATGAACACCGTTGCAATAAGCATGTGGGGATGTTATAGCTCTCAAAAATGAAAAGAGCCATTTGCAGACCATGAGAACTCTGAAAACTCTCAAAATCAAGCCTACAGTCACTAGAATCGTACCAGAAACTTGGAAATGTGTAGAAATCCTGCAAATCAAGAAAAATAATAATAATAATAAAAAAGACTACTTCTGCAGACAGTAATTTATGTAACAGAAAATAATCCAAAATCGAAAGCAGAATTCAAGATACCCATTCTAAATATACAGTAAGTATTCAACACCTACGGATTTTAAAGATACTTGTCCTGAAGTCTGTGCTTCTCTGCTGTTCTGCACAAGGCACTTTTCTTAACCAAATGCTTTTATAATGTGACTTTTCAACTTTTTCCCATTGAAATTTTATCATTCATTGGCACAACATGCGTTAATATGAAATTATTTAAATATGTTAATGACTGAAAGGTTCCAGAGCCTCATTTTTCCCTCCATGCAATAATGCCGTGCTTTCAATTTTCCACTGGGTGTTTGGCTCAATAACAATCTATTGCAAAAACAACACCACCTTTTGGACTAGCCATGTCACTTGTAACTCCTAAATTATTTGTGAGAGCTCACATTTAAGTTCTGACTTTTTCACACCATTCCTGAAATCTGTTATCAAGGATGAGCCCAGCCAAAAGTGGATTTGCTGCTAAATGGAAAGAAACATCAATATTTGGTGTTAAAGACACAACCAAAACAGA